GGTCAATCTTTCATGCGCAATTGCATATCGTTTGACGCTGTAGATATTGGACGAACTGTTGATCGCAAATCTCGACACCGTTCACGATGGCAGCATCCCATCGTCATTGGCTAGCAGAGTCGACGCTTTCACGCACGACATGACAGTATATACTGTGATTCACCCTCTCGGCTAGAGACAAACTGCCGATGCATCCATCGGTGAGTGTATTGGCTGTCGTGCGACCAAGCAAGCAATGATGCTGCATCCCGATAGGCGTATGCTTGCTGACAACAGTAGTCGCAAGTCTGCCTGGTCTGCAGGGGAGCGCATCATCGGACTCGTTCCCACACCAACGACAAGATCATGTCTGCTTGAATCGCCGCAGTGGACGGGACACTGGCCAGATACTGCACTGGCGTTCCATGGCACGGCTTTCACACAAACCAAGCTACCGAAGCTGTGCAGCCATGTAGATGCGGTAAAAACAGGATAACGACTTGGCTGTGTTCCAGCTAATGCATTTGGTTTTCGTGAGGGCCGACTTCACCTGCGAGATTGAGCACCTCTCAAGATCTGTAGACTATGTCGAATGAGCCTACCGCTCTGACGGATCGACAACCGAGTCGCCAGCTCGCATCAACCGGGTCCCAGTAACTCAATTTTCAAAGCATACGGCCTGTCCCTGGTTCTCGAACGAGATGTTGATGAGATAGCATCCAGCGGGCAAGGCATCGTGCAGCACCGGTCCAGAGGTAACTCAGCCACTCCATCAAGCTTTGTACTTGGTGTGGCATAATCTCCCAGAGAGCTCCTCAACAGTCGACGTGGTTCGCAAGGTGCGAGCTAAGGTGAATCTACGGCTGATGAGGGAAACCAAGCGCTCGAACCTTTGCGCCGTCCTCAAGGCTTCAGGGACCAAAGCGTGAAATTCGAGGGATTTACCTGTTTGAGATGGTACAGACGGGGAATTGGTGCTCTCTGACGGAAATGCAACGTCATATCTCATCTTTCACAGCATCAGCAGTCATATTGTCAACGAGAGTTTGGCAATTTCACGTTCTGTGACAGCTCATAAGCGGTCAGTGGCGGCTAGGTTAAACCATGTTGCCATGGAGTCGGCGAACCTACGCTCCTGTCATCTAGACTTTGTCACAATGTACGGACCGGTGAGCGATCATCAATTGTCGAAACATCTAGAGCCGGCCATCTGAGATGACGTTACGAGGAGGATAGCACGGCTGGTAGTAGATATACTATTGAACAGCATAAGCAGAAAACCTCGGCCTGCACGAGATCCGGAGTGGAATAAGGTTTGCATTAGTGGACGACATGTGATCTAATGTCTGGAGAACCAGAGGATGGGTACCCGGCATAAGCCGAAAAGCTTCCGAGCCGCCATTGGCTAGCGTGGCGGGTTGTGTAGTAACGCGGCTAATGCAAATGTCGCAACCTCACTACTCTACCGTGGCCCGCCAGAGACGTTTGCGGAGCCATGGCTGCAATCACAATTAGGTTGTAGCTGCATGCCTCACTACTGAGGCGGACATCGAAGCCGGAACTTTGAAAAGCCTGTTATTCGGCCGATCTTTACTTGCATAGCTGCCGCAATCGTACGATGCATGGCTTGATAGAACCTGGGATGGTGAGGGCCAAAGATCGGCGGACAGGGAACAGCCTCGGAGAGAAGACCAAGAAAGTGGAGCGCAGACCAGCCGTTTGTAGTAACTAGCCGCGGATTGGGATACTTTTCTACTTGCCTGGATAGCGAGTTCAATCTAACATATGTACCTTGATTAATACAATGGGAGAGCCAGATACGGTAGATGCTGCAGTGGCACGAGTGTAGAGATTAGTCAACGTGAATAATGCCATGGATGACTTGCAACGTCTCCCGAGCGAGACGAGATGGTAAATCCCGATACTAGAGACTGGGACCCGAACGCCATGAAACGTGATGCTAGTGGAAGAGTGTCAATCCCTACCAATATGTCTACCAACCGCTCTTAGGCCTTTTGATAGACATTGATGCGACGAGGGAGTGCGTCCGACGAAGCGCAGAGGTGCAGACCGTGATTGGCAAGGAGACTGTCAAACGATGTCTCTGGCCGTAGTTGCAGCTCCTTGAGGGTCTCTTGGAAATGCGGAGCATGATTGGGGCGAATGGCCTTTTGATATGAGTCCCAGGTCTGGAGCTCGATGACTAGGTAGCCGCCCGGTTTCAAAGACGATGAGCACTTTGCGAAAAACGTCGTCAGACCAGCGTCTCGATGTTCGAGATGGATCCATTTAATGACGGATAATGCCAGGATGACATGGTATGAGTCGGTAGCATCTTGGTCAGAGGGCAGGACCCAATCTGCAGAAAAGAAGGTTACACGCGGCCAGGCAGCTGACGCAGCGGAAGACGTGTGGACAGGCTTGCGGTGCGGTTCAATCCGGTAGCCATGAGTGAGCACGGCCGACATGGGAAAGTAGTCGACGACGGGTGGGTCGCAACTCGTGGGGGGTGTTGCACGGGAAGCGCGCAAGGCCAGGAGCTTCTCGGCCTGGGCAATCAGCTTGGGATCGATATCGACGCCAGTGACGGCAGCCGCGTGGAAATCGAGGGCTGCAGTTGATCAATATCGAGTCGATGGTGGTAATAGTCGGTTGCAGCAGGTGGCAGGGGTATCCTTCCTGGACTTACCTAGTTGGATCGAAACGCTGCCAGCATTGCAGCCGATGTCGAGAATGTGCTTGTTGGCGAAGATCTCCGGAATCGTCGCCGCCAGGATGTGCAGACGTGGGTCGCGAACGTGAGTCGCTGAGGCAGGAGGCTTGGCCCCACTATAGTCTGCAGGCCGTCAGCACGAATCGAGGCAGGGCAGCAATTGCCGAGCAGAGGCCGCTTTGAGCCACGGTAGAGGGCACGTCAGAACGCCCACAGCCCGTCTGGGTGAGGTGGCCTCGCACGTACCCACGTAGTTGCCGAAGTGAGCAGCCATGCGGGCAGCGTGTCGATCGAGCCCTGGAGTGGCGACGTGATTCAGCGCAGAGTAGTGTTGCAGCTGTGGGAGACGACGGGGCGGTGAGGGAGGCGTGGGCGGCGGTTGGGTGGTCGCGTAGAGTAGAGGGCAGAGACGGCAGGTGCCCGGGCGGACGATTGGCTGCGACACGTGCCAGGGAGAGCAATTGGCGGACTCGCTCACCGAGGGCAGCGTCGTCGCGATGGGTGGTGAGGGGTAGCAGAGGACGAGTGTGTCAAAGTAGACATGCGTCCGCCTGAGGTAGCACACGGCGGAGGCGGCTAGCCTAGGGCGCGCGCACACACGCAGGTACGCCGTGCGGGCGCAATATCAGACTGAGCAGCGAGGCAATAAGAGAGGCGCTAGGACCGCTGCAACGTTGTTACTCGGGCAATCTGTTACTCAGACAATCCAGCTGTTACTCTAAACGGTCGACTGCCGTCTGATGTGGAGTAGACCACGCGAGACAGTGATAGAGTGGTAGTGGTAGTCTGGTAGTGGTAGAGTGGTAGACAGATAGACAGATAGACGACAACTGCCGTCCCATGTCCAACTGCTCCCATGTCCAACTTGGGCGTCATGGGGTTTGTCCACGGGTGCCTTCCATGACTGCAATATGCTGCCACTCTCTCCAGGGCCGCAAGCGAAGGGCCGTGATTCGTGTCGCCGCCATGGCAGCGATACTGGCAGCATACTGCGTGTCTTAATTGTCTGCTGTTAACGACAACGGTCGCCCACCGCGGTCAAGCGCAAGCCACCGACCAACATAAGCGGCCGTGCCCGTTGCCCATCGAGTCCGATAGCCAGGTGCGGAGGCTTTGTCTCATGTCACTGCTGGATGGGCGCATGCGACGGCAGCCGTCTTCCAAAAGCCCGGTAGCCGTCCTGACTGGGTTCACCAGCCCAAGTGGGTGCGCGGAGACGGACAAGAAAGGCGTCGCAGGGCACATCGCTTTTAGCCGCACCGCTGCAGCCTCGCCATTCGCCGCGCCCGCTGACAGATGGGCCTCCAGGCCGTTCCCAGGTTCGCGCTGCAGCCACTCCTGACCTCCATCTGGACCCTCGCCGAAAGCGTCGCCCGCCAGCGCCCACCGACCGAGTTACGTGATATCTGGCATATTGCTCCATATTGGCTGCCGCCGGGTTACAGTGTGCAACACCCTGGCCCGCCTTGATTCGAAACAGACGTGCCTGCGAAACCGGGACGCCGTTGTTTGTCGACCTTTTACCCGGCCGCCAGCCTGCAACGGACGCCCCACGAAAATACTGCGAAGCCAGTTCACTGAGCTAGACTTCCCAAAGTTTCCTGCTGCATGGCGCCCGCTGAGGCCACATGCACCAGCCAGACGCCATCACCATCATTTGATCATGCCAGTCGGCCATGACATGTCCCCACTCCGTCACCTGCGAGCAGTGCCCATCTCCCGGCCTTCATATCGCTTGCACCCAGCCCACGTCAGAAACCTGGGGACTAGCACCGCTCCGCCAAGCTCGGATCCGCCCTCCCATCGCTGCACTTATCGCTGTCCTTGTTGAAATTTATGCTCCGAGCCGGCTACTCTTGACGGTTGGCGTGAGGCTTGCGAGTGAACAGGGTGCTGCGGGCCCACCCCCGTCTGCATCCTTTCCCCTTCCCGGGCGCCCGTTGTTTTAAGGCGTCTGAGCGCCTCCACTTCAACGTCGCCATTGCTGAATCCAAGCATCCGACCGTCGATCTGGCTGCTGGCGATCCAGATACCTACAGGGTTGACTACAGGGAACCGTCAACTATAAACTACTCACGCCGCCACACTCGAGGCAGTGCTCCCACTCCTGACGTCTTGTCCAACACTGCACCACGACCCGTTGCTCCCAATTTGAAAAGAGCCTCCGAACTGAACACAACCCTCATCCCAATGCGGCTTCGTGCATCGTGTCCTGGCCCGGCCAAATAATAATACACGCATGTCCCAACCACCTCCACCTCCGCCGCCGTCGCTCCCTCTGACAACATCTTCTCGTCCTGCTCCAGATATGACCGAGACCCAGAAACTTCCCATCTTTTCGCCCCCTGGCTTTCTCGACTACTCCCATCGCCGACTGCCCCCGCTGGAGATCCCGCCAGACGCTGTACCACCACGCCCGGATCACCAGTTCCGCTCCCCCATCAATCAACTGCCCTCGATCCATGCTGGACTGCCCCCACGACACGACTACCCTCAGCCGTCCTCGTTACATAGAGCAGCAGCCCCCGTCGAGAAGCTACTGCAGCACTCGAATCCTTACACCCCACCTAGATCAGACCCACCATATTCTCCCCAGCAATATGGTCCCCCCATCTCACCACGTTCCGAGTTTGACAGCAGAGGGCCGCGAAGACTAACTGAACACCGGTATCCGTACGAGGAGCCCCGCCACTATCACCCCAACCAACCCCACAGCCAACACCACGAGCAGCCCTACTCATCCCTCACTTCACCAGTAGAAGCCTCGCAGCAAAGAGCCTACCCTCCACTGCCCTCGCCTGGGTACACACCAAGCTATGCATCAAGTAGCACTCCATTCCGCGGGTCCGTCGGTTCCCATCAGCACTCACAATCACATCGCGGCTCTCTGGCGGCGCCATTGGGATCTATTTCGTATTCAGAGACCCCTGCGACAGCCCCTCTGCCCCAGAAACAGCATCGAGCAATTCCGTTGCCGGGTTCGATACCACAGCCTGTGTACAACGAACAACTGTAGGAACACCTCCCGCCTGGGTAGGTCAACGTTGACTGACACAGATAGGAATCTAAACTACGAGCTTCGTGTGCGACAACAACCCATCGCTGCGCGAGCATGTGGGTTCGGAGAACGCGACCGCAGGGTGATTGACCCTCCGCCAATCATCCAGCTACTAGTAACGGATCCGAAGACCGGTGCTGCTGAACAAGAAGAGCTTCGTTACTCGCTCAACGTGGTTCATTGCACGCTCTGGAACGCAGAAGGAACGAACGAAGAGACGGCACTCATACAGCCTGACCGACGAACAACGCGACGACTAATGGGCCAGCTCGTAGCTTCTCCGTCTGTAGCAAAGGATGAGCATGACGCCGAGGGTTGCTTTTTCTGCTTTCCAGACCTCTCTTGCCGTACCCATGGCAAGTACCGACTCCGGTTCGTCCTTATGCGCATCGATCCTATGAACCTCCACGTGGGAGGGTTCTCGCCCATACTCACCGAGGTCTTGAGCGATGTCTTCACAGTCTACACAGCCAAAGACTTTCCGGGTATGCGGCCAAGTAGCGCGCTCACCCGGGCATTGAAGTTACAAGGGTGCAATATCCAAGTGAAGAAGGGCAACGAGAAGGCACTGGCACGCAAACGACTCACCGCGAGCCAAGAACACGACAATACGGAAGACGACGAGCTGAAGCGACGGCGTAGAGAATGACAACCTCGCCACACCTCTCAGGCATCTACATTTTCATGAGCATCATCTACAGCGGGCGATGTGGGTTATTATTTGGGTTATCTGGAGCATCTTTTGCAGATACCGATTTGCATCTTGACGACATGATGAACGAACCCTATTCCCCTCGGACGTTTCATTTTAGTTCCAAAGTTGCCAGCGTTGAGAACGTTTGCATGGCGTTTATACAACACAGAAGGGGTCTGAAGACTCGGTGAGGCGGTCACATTGTAATGCATTTGATATTCGACGGACGGGAGCAAGATACCATTTGATAGCTCGTATTTGAAGTTAATATAAGAAGACACTGGGCTTGAGACAATTTTTCTCAGGAAATGAAGCTTCGGATTAAGATTCGCTGCAGGATCATGGTCGCAAGCCTCAAGCCTCGAGAGGGCGCTAGTGCGGGCGGATCTGCCCCGCTAGAGGGTCCATGCGCCGATTTTCTTTCAAAGTTAACGCGTGCGAAATCTCGACTTTTCTTCCTTCCCTCCCCTTCCCCATAACCGATTGAGGCACCAAACAGCATCATGAAGTACGTGCTTGTGTCTGGCGGCGTCATCAGCGGCGTGGGGAAGGTAAGCTGCAGGTTGCCGCGCCTTTGATCACCACTAACGCGTACACACAGGGTATCATAGGTAAGCTATTTGACATGGGCTAGAAGTGTCGCGCGTCTATGACGCTCCACGCGAAGTTTGACTTCCATGAGAGCATACCAGTCTCTACGAGACCACCGCTATCAGTGTGTAGCCGAAATGCACCACTGTAGATCATCTTCTACGTCAGGATTTTATTTTGCGTACTGTAGCTGATTGACGCGTCGCAGCCTCCTCTACAGGTCTTCTCCTCAAGACAATCGGCCTCAAGATAAGTGCAATGGACTGACGCGGTTTACCGACCATACTGACGTCCCAGCACGTCTCGTCGATCAAGGTCGACCCGTACCTCAATGTCGATGCGGGAACTATGAACCCGAAGGAGTAGGCTTCACCAACCGTACCGTGAATATAGACTGAAAAAAACTCAGGCATGGCGAAGTGTTCGTCCTCTCCGACGGCGGCGAAGTCGACCTCGATCTTGGCAACTACGAGCGCTACCTCAACATCACCCTCACCCGCGACAACAACATCACCACTGGCAAGATCTACCAGCACGTTATCGAGCGCGAGCGCAAGGGCGACTACCTGGGTAAAACCGTACAAGTCGTCCCACACATCACCGATGCGATTCAAGATTGGATCGAGAAGGTCTCGCGGATACCCGTCGATGACTCAGGCGAGGAGCCGGACGTCTGCATAATTGAGCTGGGAGGAACCGTGGGCGACATCGAGAGCATGCCCTTCATTGAGGCTATGAGCCAGCTGAGGAGGCGTGCGGGCAAGAACAACTTCATGCAGATTCACGTCTCGTATGTCCCGGTTATCCACGGCGAGCAGAAGACGAAGCCTACGCAGCAGGCTATCAAGGCGGTGAGGAGTAACGGTCTGATCCCAGATTTGGTATGTCGAGCCTTTCACGTTAGCAGTTACTTTGGATGACTGACAGTACCAGATTGCCTGCCGCTGCGAGCGCGAACTTGAAGCCTCCGCTGTCGAGAAGATCGCCCACTTTTGCCAGGTCGAGAACGAACAAGTCCTTGTTGTCCGTGACATGCCATCCATCTACCAAGTACCGATGCTTCTCGAACAACAAAGACTGATTCCGATGGTACGCCAATTCCTTGCTCTCGAGCAAGTTTCAGTCTCAGCGTCAATGCTGCAAAAGGGCAACCATACCTGGGCGCAATGGCAGTCGCTCACTGGCCACGACACTCGTTTCCACGACCCGGTCACGATCGCACTTGTCGGAAAGTACGTGGAGCTCCAGGACTCATACCTGTCAGTCATCAAATCGTTGGAACACGCTACGATGCGGTGCAAGAGGAAGCTGGACATTCGCTGGGTCGACTCGGACCATCTGGAGCCCAAGTGTCAGAAGACAGACCCTGCAAAGTACCACAACGCTTGGCACGAGGTCGTCAAGGCATCAGGTATCCTGGTACCGGGTGGCTTCGGTCAACGTGCCACAGAAGGTATGATTTCAGCGGCCACCTGGGCGCGTGAGCATAAGAAGCCATATCTTGGTATCTGCCTCGGCATGCAGATTGCCGTTATTGAGTACGCTCGTAACGTTTGCGGCATCAAGGACGCAACCTCCGAGGAGTTCAACGGCGAGGCGCAGAACAAGCTCATCATGTTCATGCCAGAGGTAGATAAGAGCACCATGGGCGCATCCATGCGTCTCGGTCTCCGTCCCACACTCTTCCAACCAGGCAGCGAGTGGTCTCGTCTCCGCGCTTTGTACGCCGGCAAGGAGGAAATTCTAGAGCGCCACCGTCACCGATATGAGGTCAACCCTGACTACATTGAGACGCTTGAGAAGGGCGGTCTGAGCTTTGTCGGCAAAGATGAAGCTGGTGTACGTATGGAGGTTATCGAAATCAAGGACCATCCCTGGTTCGTTGGTGTCCAGTTCCACCCGGAATATCTGTCCCGCGTCCTGGACCCGAGCAGACCCTACTTGGGTTTCGTCGCTGCTAGCGCTGGTATGCTCGACGAGATCACTCGCGACTACCAAAGTGGCGCGACGAATGGACTTGATGCGGAAGGCATTGCCAACGGTGTGAGCGGCCTTAAGATCAACGGCAACCCAAGCTTCTGAGTGCAGCCCCTCGGCTGTTCATGAATGATGATGCCAAGCAAGACGCCGCGACATACACAACGGAAGTATTCAACGCTTGAACTTGAATGGTCTGATTTTGGAGTTGGGATCGGATGGAAACAACAGGAAGGTTATGTAGTTATGGGAGAAGCATTTACTGGCCCTGGACGATGTTGACGTGGCATGTGCATATGATACCTAGACAGTACAAGAGACGATGCTCTCAATGTAGACCATCATTATCAAGACGATACCTTGCACCTGATCGACGCTAGTGATGTACTTCGTTGCCAAGAAAAAAGCAAAGCCTTCAATGTGTTCAACTTCTTCGGGCGTCCGTCGGTTCATCAGCCTCGATGGTATTTCCTATCAGCATGAACTGAGAACCCCTTGATCTCAGATCTATACACATTTGGACACCATAACACCATCCATTTACTGTGGAATCCAGTCAGGACCCTCAGCCTGGTAGAGCGTCGGCTTCGGATTAACACAAAGCCTCCCGTTCTCATTCGGCAAACCGTCAATGCTACGCACATTGAAGAACTCACTGCCCACTGCCCCAGTAGCCCAGAAGAGATTAAACGGATCAAACTTGCGCTTCGCCTCCAAGAGACGCGGGTAGAAGCTACCCCAGAACGACCACTGAAAGTTGGGCTCAAGGCGATCTCCCTCGGAGAGGTACGAACCGGAGCCGGGCGTGAGATCGCGCCACTTCTGCATAACGCCATAAGTCATATTGAGGCGCTCTTCGACAATCTCCGCAGCTGGATTCGTCATATTCAGCACAGTCCCAGTGATGATGAAACCGAGCATGTCTCTCCAAGCTGGATTAACAGAGTTGTCAGGGCGTCCGCCTTTCTCCCATGATGGCGCCATGTTGTAGCCGATCAGCGCCATACCTTCGTCGACGGCTTGCCAGAGGGCTTCGAAAGTCTCATCGAAGATGGATTCGTTGGCCCAGTTGGAACGGGGGATCATACGCGAGGTAGTGGCTACACCATTACTATTAACGGCCTCCACAGGGAAAGAGCCGTTGTACGCGTCGTAGAAGCCGTTGTATTGTGTCCATTCGGGCTCGACAGTGATGCCAAGTGCGGCCATGTTTTTCACCCAAGGGTCGACCAGGGCTTTGGCTTCTTCGACGGTCTTGCCGGGAGCGAAGAAAGGCGACATATCCATCATGATGGAATCGGGGCCCGGGAAAACTTTCCAATAGGCGTAAGTGTTGTTATCGGCGTTCTGTGGGAAATATTTCATGTAGGCTTTGAGTCCTTGCTTGAAGGCTTCGGTGCTGACGTTCTTGCCTGTGGTGACGACCCAGTTGGCGGAGGCAATGGGTTGGTCTGGATGTACCTTGACGGTGACGGAGGTTACGACACCGAAAGTCAGACCGCCACCACCGCGTAGTGACCAGAATAGCTCGGGGTTATTGTTCTTGTCAGCAGTCACGTAACGACCGTCTGATAAGACGACCTCCATGGAAAGCACATGGTCAGCGCCTAAGCCTAGGTGGCCGGACAAAGGTGAGTGGCCGCCACCTTGGATCCACCCACCCATTGCGCCAACAGTAGGGCCTGTATCACAAGAAAAGTCAGCATCTATCCCAAAACATGTCTAGATAGTAGGTACTGACATTCACCGCCAAGGACTGTGCCGCCGAAATCTCTCGCAGCAGCGTAAAGCTCAAAGCCTTGCGCACCTGCGCCAGCCTTCATAGTCGGTCCAGTGTAATCCTCAGACTCGTAGTTATCGAGGAATGCAATGTCTTTCAATCCGTGGGTCCATACACTAAGAGAGCCAGCACCACCGCTCTTGCCCTAAGAGCTATCAGCGATTGGAAGATTGGGTACGGATGAAGCACTTACCGCAAAATCGTGACCTGTATTTCGGACTACGAAGCGAACGCCTGTGTTTCGCGCGAAATTAAGCGCCAGCTGGATCTGAGCAGCAGTCGAGGCATTCACAACGTAGAGAGAGTATCCTCCTTGGGTGCACTCCTTACTATCGTAGAGCTGAGGTGGTTGGCATGTACTGCCTTGGTACATCGGACTTAGCATCTCAAGTGGGTCATCGAGCCTGTTCATATACGTTAGTCGATGGCTATGTGGAGGTAATTTTCAAAGGCTACATACTGGGAAAACGGATCGGTCCACGACTTGGTCATGGCATCGCAAGCGCTCTGGTCTGCAGCAGCCAGGCTAGTGTTGTAGCAGACATGTGCTTGGGGGAGAGGCTTCAGTAGAGCACCGTTGGTGATTTCGTTGAGCGCCGACCAGCTCGCGTCCGCCGGCCAATCTTCATCGCCAGGGAAGACCTTGCATTCGCGGCCGTTGAAAGTACTCTCTGTCTCAGGGACGGAGTCGCTGGCAATATTGTGTGCAGCAAACTGGAAAAGCGACCTTGCGTCGGCTGATACCGAGGTCAATGCTTCCTTAAGGGTCGCATCCGTCAAGAATGATTGTTCCCATTCGAAACGGGGAATTGCTCCATCAGCTGTTTGCTTGATGTTCGCCACGTTTCCTGACTGGCGATCGGCAAGACGCATGGGGGGTTCCGCAGAGCGAGGCGCGAATCTGGCGGCGGCGGAGGCCACAAAGAGCACGCCAATGCCCAAGAAAACCATGATACCAGGAATCGAGCCGCGATAAGAATCCGTATATCGAATCGAGAGTGTGTAGGAACATCGATTGCAAGTACGCCCCCATGGATAGTGCTGCAAGTAGCTTGCCACCCACTTGATTACCGAGCTGTCACCCGCTCCAAGTTCACTTGCATCTCCAGACAGAGGTACCCATATTTCGCATCTAAATAACCTTGTTCGTGAAGCGCAAGCCAAGTCTTGGATAACGCTCGCCGCGGCGGTTCGGTTGCATCCACAGCCAACACGCCTCTCGAAACATCCCGAAAGCACGGCATAAACCCTTGAGCGAAGCAAGCTAGGCGATGTGAAAGCCGTTGGACTGGAGCTAGATGGGGTATTGTCTCCGCGAAAAAAAGACCCACTCTATGCAGGACCGAAGGATTCCTATACAGCGGATAAAGTATTAGCGTCGAAACCGGGGGCGGCACGGTGCGGCGCGGGTAGAATACGGTTGATGGGAATGCTGCAGACCGCATGTTTATCTGGCTGTGGTCACGGCTTGAGATCCGAGACCGGCAAGACATGGACTGGATTTATTAGTTCACATCTTAAGTGCAAACCTCGGTTATAGCCAACAATACCATGCATTCATAGGGTATCACCACCATATCGCCACGCTAGATGTATGCTTGCCTGAACGCCTGCAGCTTCTTCCTAGTGCGCCGTGTAAATGCATTGTTCACCTTTGCAGTTTGATATTCATTCCCGCTTGGTCGCCTATACTTGCTTCACGAATGCTGTTACAAGGTTAATGTATGTCCTGAGATGTTGAGGGACTTGAACTTACTGGCATCGATCTGTACAACCTGGGGTAACGCTAACCGAATCTTGTTTCTGTATAGCGCCGGTTGTGCCCGTTGAAGAGGGTTGCCCTCGAAGTAGACCGTCTCCAACTCTTCCTTATCTCTCAACTCCTTCTCGACCTCTCCAAAGTCGCTCAACTTACAATTGCTTGCCCAGAACTCAGTGAGGTGCTTGAGACCATTCAGTCCCGATAGATGTTCGATCGGGTTCGCGCTGATGTCGATGACGTTTAGGTTGACGTTGTTCTCTAGACCTGACAGTTCTGTGAGGAGGTTGTGCGAGATGTGCAGTTCTTCAAGGTTGACGAGCTTCTCCAGACCCGTTATCGAGCGCAGGCGATTCGACTGAATGCTGAGAATCTTGAGGTTGGTGAGGGTATCTAGACCCTTGATCTCGGTGATCTTGTTCTTGCCCAGCCACAGCTCTTCCAAGCCCGTCAGCGTTTCCAGCCCTTCAATCTCGCGTACCCTGTTCGCGCCGAGCTCGATCTGCCGCAGGTTGGAAAGCCCGTCTAGGTTTTCTATCTTGCTGATCTTGTTCTGCACAAAGTACAGATCTTTGAGCTTTGTCATGTGATTCAGGCGTTTGATGTGCTTGATCTTGTTGAAGGAGAGGTCGAGCGAGGTGAGTTCGGTGAAGGCATCGAGGCCTTTGATGTGCGCTATGAGGTTGTCGTAGAGGTCGACTTCTGTGAGAGTCGGCGCGACTTCGTCGGGTATCGCGATGCTTTCTATGCGGTTTTGGCGCAGGCAGAGACGCTGGGAGGTTAGGCAAACTCATCTACAGCCCACAGCACAGCATACCTTCATCTGCTTGAACCTCTCCAACCGTAACGCCGACATGTCTGAGACTTTGGAGTGCACAATCTCTATGTCGTCCTCATCTTCCGGTGTGTCGTCCAGCAAATCCTCGTCTGCAGCCAGCTGCTCGGGAGGCGGACCCTCGTCGTCTGATACTTCTGGGTCGCTCACAACCTGCGCATGTGGGTCGCGGGGTTCGTCGGCAATGCTCATCTTGTCTATCCGCAACTTGCCGTCCCAGCCGTTGCTGTCGCGTGGTTTGTGGCCGTCGTTGTCTTCGTCGCGTGTTTCGTTCGCGTCGGTCGCCGCCGCGGGGTCGCGCTCGCTGTGCGGGGCAGGATTCAACTCAGCCATGGCGCGTGAGGGGATAGTGTAGGGGAAATCGACGGAGAAAGCGTCTTGGAACTGGGTGTAGATGTCGACCGCTACTTGCAATATCTAGGCAGCTGTGTGTGGTCTGCAAGTGATTGTTGGAGCGGCAGGTTACGTCGTTTCGAGCTAACCTCTGCCTAAGCAAGGGTCCAGCGGCATGACGATCGCCAGCCATCAGACACCAACGCTCCACCACCGACATCACAGCCAACTACAAGATTCGTTCGAGTTGCATGACTTCTAAGTAATCCAGCCTATCCGAAGATCACACGTCTGATCCATAGTACGCATGTACTCTTCCAACCTGTCCACGATCCAACCAGATCGAACCGCACCTCCCGTCATTGCCGCCGGCTCCTCCATCTTTTCACACCTCGAAGCGGCAGTGGAATACTCCGAGCATTGTAATGTCGACGCTCGACCTAAACGCACTTCGCTCGACACAAGGCACCTAGAAGTGCGGTAGGAGAACTGCAGACAGCGCGTGTTCCTTTCGCATGCCGATTTGCAAGCTTCGAAAGAGCTGTGCACCTCCTCGCCTTTCAAAACCTCATTGCTGAAGGCCTTGTCGACGGAATAACTGTCCCATTCTGATCTTTCCCTGCTCAGACTAGGGTATATATATCCCTTGAACACATCGGCATGCTTCAGAGGAGCGCTCCTTGGACGCCTACGATACCACTCTTGTTCGAATTCCCATAGAGACCGCATCTCAATCTCTGGCATATGATGGTATGTGATCGCGGCATAGCACCACGGCTGTCTGTTGATCTTGGTAATGTTGTGGTCGAGCGTTGAAACCGGATCACCCTGGAAATGAGGAAATGCCCACAGCAGTGATACTTGAGCATCCTTCAACGCCTTTCCGAGGACCATGTCTCCGGCCCATTGCTCAATTGTATACTGATTCAGATCTTTCATATGCGATTTCCAATGATGGATCACCTTCCTCATTGCTGGTGCCGACAGAACAAATCCCGAGCCGCCGTGAGCAAAAAGCACGTCGCCAATGTACATTTGCTTGCCGATGTAATGCGAGGCCTCTGCATCGAACTGGGACAGATAGTCGAGCAGGTTGGTCCACATGAGGTACGTGTCAAGTTCAATGAAGACGAACCATTTTGCTTGTGGCATCCGGCGGAGAGCTTTATCTATCATCGGCAAGAACTTGAATTTGTCAAGTTTCCACCCCGGATTGCTTAGCGACCCTGATGCGCCACTTCCATCGTGTGCGATACCATCCATAGAGAGACCATCTCGGCCCTTGGTCTTTAGCTGGTGGTAAAGCTTGAAGTCTGGCACCGAGTCTTTCAGATCCTGGCTGAGCTCGTCGAAAACATCGTCGATATGGTGTCCTCTAAATTCTTCTTCAAAGTCGGAATAGATGGCGTAGTTTGGAATGCATCGCAACACGGTCGTGAGATGGATCGGTAGCTTCTCGAGTACCTCGGTGGCACCTGTGCGAAGGATGACCAATACTTCTTTCGCGATCGGGTTCTGAGGACAGTACAGTGGAGTCTGATGCTGGCTGAATATACTGGCGCTGGGTATCGATCTTCGACATGAGTGTATGAAGAAGCCACAGATGAGTAAAGCGGCAATAGCAGTTCGATATCTGCGTCGGAAGTTGCCCCAGGACCTACCTGCAGCCATTGTCATTCACTCAACGCAAGTACATTGGGGCTCGTTGGAAGGAACGAGCTCAGTCGACTTTATTGGGGGTTTACCCCTTCAACCCGCAGCTCTGCGTGTCAGTATGAGCTTCACTCCCGGCGCTTAGCGCTGATAATCCTTGTCAGCTTCTGGTCCTCCATTCCGATGTAATGAACCGCTGCGTCACACTCGAAAGCCAACCCACACGCATCTCCGGTGCTCTTCTCAAAGAAGGACAACTACGCTGGCGTTATTTCAACAGACAAGTAACCGCTGGCCTTCTTCCCCCGATACCATTCGATCTGAATGGCTTTCCAGACGAAAAGGAAGTAGCGAAATTGAGAGTGAGCAGTAAGTGGCACAGCAGAGACAGTGGCGTTTGGGCAGAACGGTGATTGGCGGGAACCGAGTAGGCGAAAGCAGACAAGGACCTGCATCATTATCGTCTTGCTTCAGACAATGCATCTCAGCCAACCGCTCACCCGTCCCACAGGATTCAACAACTAAACTAGGAGATATGCGCACTTAACCGGCGCGGCGTGGTGGAGGGCTCCCGCCTCTAGGCTCTCGGTGTAACCAAAGGCGTATGTGCAGAGCACTCTTCCGCTATGTGTCCCCTTGTTTTCGCTTTCATACCATCGGCCCTTTTGCCATAGTATCAGATAACTATGTGGAGACTCATCGTCAGGCTGTGGGTCATGAGCTCGACGTTACTCGCCTCTCATGTCTCGCCGAGACAGGAAGAAGAAGGAAGAATCTGGACAGAGCCTCAGGACTCAAGCGACGGCGGATTCATCTTCCCAGTAACGTACCCGATCGATTTCCGCGAAGGCTCCAGCATCAATATATCATGGTCGACCACGTACGAAAACATCAATTTATACTTTTACCAAAGAGGCAAGGTCGCGAATTCGGTGCAGCTCGCTGGTGAGGAATCATGCTTCTTCATTATCACATAAAGTACTAATGAGACTTTAGTCAATCTAGCAAGTCAGTGGTACCAATGGGAGGTACGCGCGGAAGAGACCAACCTGACCAACCCCTTCGTCTTTAGAGTCGTCAACGCCCAGGGCACCGATGAGGAGCAAAGAATAGATGGCTTTTGGAGTACTAGCTGGTACATCAAACGGACTGCTGTCGCAAGCGAATCGGAAGCATTTTCGTCTTCGTCTTCGTCCTTGTCGTTGTCAACTTCGTCAGTCACGCTAGACCCGATTTCTTCGCCACCAACAACATCGTCAACAAGTACCTCGTCGACCACATCAGCAACAGATACCCTGGCAACATTGGCCTCAGATGGAGCAAAAGACACGGAAGACAAGGGTATCGGCAAGAACACCATAATCGGTCTGACGGTCGGGCTCGTGGTCGCGGGTATCCTCATCATTGTGGGAGTGGTATTTTGCCTTCGAAAACGCCGGAAAGACAAGACTGCTTCAACTCCTGCGCCAGTCCCCGCCGTTTCCTACCTCGATAACGTCCCCGCTCAAAAGCAGTCTGGTTATCATGCAGCGCATGAGGTCTTTGCGCCGCCTTCCGAGTTGCAGGGCGCGCCACCACTCTACGAGCTTCCTGGTCATAGATCGTAGGGATAGAACAAAAGGTGTGTTGTATCAAAGAAAAACAATTCGTACGCTTCGCACCACCACTTCTAGTGCCAAAGAAAAAGATCGAAATGATGCAGGCGACCTATATCCCCTTGTCGGACCGTTTCGCTAGTATGCCGTGCAACTGGCCCTCGCTTCCGTCGTTGTACGCACGCATCATACTTGCCTTCCTTGGTTACAGGCGTGTCCTTGACCTGAAGACGTCGTTCAAGCAAAAAAAAGTTATCTTTACACACTGGCAAAAACATACAACAGCAGGGATTCGCTAGTGGTCACCCACCTAACTACTAATCTGCCGGTACAATGCTTGTATATGGCTGAGCGGACGGGAAGCCTAATTCTCATTGTCCTATGGTCGTATGTGAAGGTAAAACAAGTTGGACTCATTATATTGTAGTGCGCTGGATCCAAGAGGTCGTGAGAGAGCTGAGAGGAGTACGTCAGGTGGCCCGCTGCTTCACGATGCGAGGCTGCTTGAGGAACGAACACGAACTTTGATCGCAAAGGTTCGGTTGCTATGACCAAAGGGCTAACGGATTCTGCGGCTTGTTGCGGTGCTCCTACACCAGAGTTGCGTCGTAAGTGGTTGCGACTATCTTGAAGGCAACCTTCTCCAAAGCAATCTCTATATCGGTCCTATATGTGGTATGACGCTCACTAAAAAAACGAATAGGTTCTACCACAGCGTCAACACGACGACTCAGATATTCGTTAGCTTGACGCTAATACGATAAGTTAGCCTATGTACCTTTGAGGCTTCCCAGCCACTGCGCAGATATGTACTCACAGTTTTCCACTCGCGATGATCCTCATACATGCGGTCATATATCTGTGACTTGTTTAGTCTCGTTGATAAATCTTGTCGTCGTCAACTTACGTATTGCTCGGGGTGGTTATCACATTTAATCCAATGGAGGAAACGAGTGTGGACATATTCTAACTCTTCGTATGCTTCCCACAAGTCTCTGATCAATCCAGTCGGATCGTAGGTCCTATCGTGGAACTCTTTCTCGTCATACACAAATTGCCTTCGTATATAGAGCGCCGGTATACGTTCTTGAAGGTAGTATTTGATGAGCTGGGACCATAGAGACTTTGTTCGTTTTTGGATGGCTCCGCCTATGCAAGTCGCATACATCCGCACCAACGGGAATCCCATCTGATTACCCAGTTCCACAAGCGCAGTCACCAGTGGAATTCGGGTGCTGACCTCCATCTGTGCGTGCAAGATAGAGGAAGCTTGGAGCATGGTCTCTGCCGGGTCACTGTAGTCAATCTTTTCAAAACCGCCTCCAATCTCGACTTCAGTTGCCTGACCTTCGCGTCCATACAGCAAGCCCACAGCATCTAAAAATACCCGTTGGATGCTTTTAGCGTAGTTGACTACGACTCTCGAGTGGGGCGCGACTAGACCTTGCAACCCATATACTTTGTCTTTTGGGTCGTGGCAGTCGCTTTTACTGAAGGTCGCAAGTAGACTCGTATAAGTGTACTTCTTTGCCGAGAGCGCGTGTTCCACAAGCCATATCACCTGTTGCGGTATACAGTACCGAACCTGCGCCAGCAGTGGAGATGCACTTGAGAGACAGAATCGCCTCAGCTCTTCCCATGAAAGTATAGTCTCTCCACACATGATCCGGATATATCGGGCTAGCATGATCTCTTGTACAATCCAGAGTCTTTTCCAGTACGTATTGAGGAAGAAGCATCTGAGTGCTGCGGCCGGCAAGCTATTCGATTCTGGTTCCAAGCAAGAATCCTTGGTGGGATGGCATTGCTCCTCGGCTCCAGAGATCCGACGCCGCCTTGGTCCTTTCGTAGGCGACAGCGTAGTTCTATCTTCGTAGTACCGTCTCAGACCGGACTTCAATATCGTCATCGCCGCTTCAACATCGGAATGACATGGCCCGAGCCACACGTAAACGTAGGCGGCCCGGCTATAGATCTTGGACATCAGCCTCACCTGATGGTTGCGTTCGGTAATCACCGTTTGATTGATGCAGATCTGGTCGATCCATAACCATTGTGTCTCAGCCTCGTATATACTGTTACTTTGGAAATTGAAGAGTCTCGTTCTGAAAGTTTCGAGAAATGCGTACAAGTTTTGACGCACTTGTAGAGGTTGACCGTTCATGTAGATGCGTCTGAGCGGTGAGCTCGGTCCCCATTCGTATGAGACCGCTCGATAATCGGGTGTTGTGTCGTCTTCGAGGTAAGCATTTCTGAGCTGGCAGTTGACATCGCCAGAAGACGCGGGAGTAATGCAAATCAGTCGAATTTGCTGTCTCCAAGTGTCGAGAGGTTCGTGCTTGAAGCAGTTGCTGACGTCGTCCGCGCCTTCCATACTTCCTAAAGCAGGTTACGCTAGTCTGAAAACGTACTGGCTTGAGGTCTGACCCGTGTCAGAGAATGCAGAAGATGCCTTGAGTAAATCGCAATGTCTTCGATAGTAGCATGTTCGCAGGAGGTGGACGGGGCTACAGCTGCCGCTCTGGTGTCTACTTACACTGTGAGCTGACCTGGCGCATGTGTCAAAGTAATTCCGCGATCAATTCCGCAAGCGTTTTCGAGTTCAAAAAAGATGATCTGGGGGTTGTGTCTCACATTGTGGATGAACGTAGCCTTCACCACGTCTAGATGTAGAGGAAGCGAGTGGATGCGGGGTATAGGCAGTAACTATCACTAGCCGCTAAAGAATATACCACGCCGCATACCTGCAGCAGCCAAAACCTCATAGCACGACACATTCGAAAACCAGAAAACTAACTACTCGCCCTTCTTCAAGAAAGTCAAAGCAGCAACGACATACCCCTCCATGCCCACCGTCAAAGTCGGCTGCACAACTGGCGCAAAGAAGGGACTATGATTTCCAGGAACATCTTCACTCAGCCTCCCCTCTTTCTCCGCCTTATCCCAAACCACGGGATCCGTCCCTCCATACAGGAAAAAGCAACTCGGCTTGCCAATCGCGGTAGCGAGGATACCAAAGTCTTCGGAGCCCTGTAAGCGCGCAATGTCCGACTGATAAGAATGCTTTCCAGGCTGGAAGTGCGCGGAGAAGGACTTTTCAAGCGCGTTGGTAACGTCGGCGTCGTTGAAGAGCAAGGGGAACTGCGTTGTTGGTGTCAAGGTGGGGGTGTTTGGGTTGTTGGATGCTTCGGCCTCGGCGGCGATGATACGTTTGACGCTGGCGAGGACGCGCTCGCGGGTTTGGGGTAGAGCTGCGCGGACGTCGATTTTCAGGTTTGCTTCCGAGGGGATGATGTTTTCGGCGTCGCCTGCGTGGAAGGCGGAGACAGTTACCACGGCGAAGTCTAGGGGGTCTACTTCTCGCGCGACGATGGATTGGAGACGCATTATTGTGGATGCGGCTTGTAAGATGGGGTCGATGCCGCGATGGGGAGTAGATGCGTGGGCTTGTCGACCTTCGATGCGAAGTCTATAGGGATTAGTTTGAATGAGGAGTCAAGAAGAAGGGCGGATTTACTGGAATCGATCAGCCGAGCTGGCGATTAGACCATGCTTCGTACCAATAACACCAGCTCTTTCTGGCATGACATGTGCGCCCACCACGACATCCGGCTCTTTGACTTTTTTATACAGACCATCATCCACCATGTTCTGCGCGCCACCTGCTCTTTCTTCCGCTGGCTGGAACACCAAGATCAACTCCCCGCTCCACGCCTCTTTACATCTGACCAGAGTTTCCGCCGCCGCAAGCAGCGCGGTAATATGCATGTCATGGCCACAGGCATGCATCACGGGCTTCTCAACATCGTCCACATCCTTCATACGCGCTGTGCTGGCATAGTTCAGGCCTGTCTTCTCTTCCACGGGTAGCGCGTCAATGTCAGCACGTAAGAGAAGTGTCTTTCCGGGGCCATTGGAGAATGTGGCAGCGACGCCGTGGCCGCCGATGGAGGAATGAATTGTGAAAGCTTTGAAGGTCTCGAGATGTTTGACAATCGCTTCCGCTGTCTTGGCTTCCTGGAAGGACAGCTCCGGGTGCGTGTGGAACCACTTGTCTACGACTTCATTAGCGATGAGATCGATAAATTACAATGATCACTCACAGAGCTCTTCATATGAAGCCAAGTCTGGCTGATGTGCCTTGACAATCTCACTTATGGAAGGCATGTTCTGCGTCAATGCTCTTACTACGTTTACAAGAATGGATGGCTGAATTGCGAATGATCTGTAGTTGGTCGCTGATATATACGTCCAGTCTTGCGGTAGATAACTCGGTAAACGACCTGCCTTTGTCGCGTTAGCATTTCCCGTCGTGATACCCGTGCTGGATTAGTGTTGTTCTGACAAAGCGGTTCCCGACGGGGAAAGTCGAGAATGACGTATGAGCGTGCGTTGGATTGTGGGGTAGCGTAACTGATTCCGACGCCGATACCGCCGGCGGCAGCGCAAGACAGTACAAGTCCGATAAGAGGGGTCGTGGCTGAAAAGTGCGTGTATTGATGTGAGTAAGCTGGAAAGTGATACGTTCGTTGATAATAATACAATGATGTGCACAACGCCAAACGAAACCCGTCTTCTAAACCAAGAATGCGTACATTTCAAACTCCTCGCATGTGGCGACAATGACCGACGGCTGCGTCAAATGGTGCGCGATTCGTCCATTCCAATATACAGCATGTGTAACAAGCTCGTAGAGGGAGGGAGGATTGGGCTTTGCCATTCTACGACTCTGCCATGTCCTTGTCGTGTTCTTCAAGCTGCCTCTCCAGACTTCCCATGAGGTCTGGTTCCGAAGTTGGTGCAGAAGGAGCAGCTGATTGAGGTTGCACAGGCTCAGCCTCAAGTTTGGGTTCGGCCTCAACTACAGGCTCAGGCTGGGGCTGGGGCTCCGGGACGACCACAGGCGCTGGTGCCGCGTCCACTTCCACTTCCACTGATGGAGCTGGGACTGGAACCTCGCTTGGAGCCTCCTCGGGAACGATGGCTTCTGTGGTAGTAGTAGAAGTCGAGATCTGGTTCATGGAATTCTGGCGACTATGGGAGACGGCAGAAAGCGGCAGATCAGGTGAGCTGGACTGGTCACGTTTCGGCGTCTGCATCGACGTGTCGATTGGAGCGGTATCGATTGCGGTCCTCTCGATCGTTGCGGTATCTTGAGAGGGCTCGTTGGAGGCCGGCGGCGGATGGCTTGCTAGTGCGGTGCTCTCTGTCAATGTAGCGTCCGCGAAGTTGGGAGCTTCGGTCGCTGGAGCACTGGGTGGGACTGCAGAGGACGCCTGAGGGGTTGCTGGGTTGGAGGTATGCTCCATGTCTTGATCTTCATCTTCCGAGCCCTCCTCGCCAGACCCCTCTTCTTCCTCGCCACCAGCGTCTGCCATTGGCGTATCACCTCCATCTGACGGAGCTACCGATCCGTCCTCTTGTTTGACGCCTGGTACACCCAGCATATCACCGCCGGCAGTTGATGCTGGCGTCCCTTGCTCTGCTCCTTCAACAAAGACGACCTTCTTCTTGCCTCTGCCTGGGCCTCCACGCTTGACCTTCTTCTTAGGAGGTGGCGGCCTCCGCCGAGGTGGCGTTTGTTGTAGGATGTCGTTAGCTACGACGACACCTTCTGCATTCACAACACCAACTCCCTCGACGATTGTTCCCGGTGCCGCAGTAGCTGGCGCAACTTCAATTGCAGCAGCATCTTCAGGCTGGACTTCGCCTTCTACAGCCTGTCCTTCTGGTACAAGTACCTTGTAAACAGCCACGTTGCCATCTGCATCAAGTTTCTTAACCTTAGTTTCCCGCAACGCAGGTTGCGCAACCTGACCATTCACGTATGGTGATGGGAGACCTTTCCTTCTCTTCGCGAGATACTCTGGTTCCGAAACTTCTAGATGCCGTGCAACTTTGACGTACTTCTTGATAGTGAAGCCGGTACGGATCTCTTTAGTCTCTTCTTCCTCATCTTTCATCTCGTTGTCGTCTTCTGGAGGAGCCGGTGGTTTGTACAACTTCCCGGAGCGTGCTGCTCGCAGCAATTGCTGAGAATGTTCAGGCAACATGTGAGAATCCCGAGGCATGGGCAGCTCGGGCCAAGCATCCTTGTCCAAAGGTTTGTTGTCGGCCGAGTTTGGTTCAATCGTGATTTCGGCTTCCCGATACTGACTAATGGGCAATCCTTCCAGTACATTGTGCTCTATCTGGCCGCGTCCTGACCTGTTGGACCGATCCCTGTTCCGAAACTAGTTAAATCATGTCAGCTTGAGTCTAGAAGAGATATGTGCACGTTTGGACGCTGTCCAGACAAGATGCGATGCCATGGCTGCATCGTTGCGCGGGAGGTGCAGGTACTAAAGAGCTCCTCATCACCACTAGTTAAAGCAAGCGAATCTAGAGACTACTCTCTTATCGCTCGGTCTTAAGAGATAATGGCGCGTCGATGATAGTCGATGGAATATCAAAAATGCGATGCACGTGATAGAGATAGCGGTGTTGCGTCGCGCGCGTGCAGAGGCTGGGAATTGATGTCGCAGACGCAGCTCAAGGACGCATGCTCGAACAAGGAGATGGGATGACGTACCGGAGCCATAGTAACATGCGATGCCCTCGATGGGCTTTAGGGCAGGCGGTGAAAGTGGGTATTGATGTCGGCGCAATGCAACGGGAAGTCGCGATGCGTGAAGGGGAGGCGCGTCGCTTTGCAGAAGGCAGGCGCAACCGTGCGCCGCTATACCCCTTCGAGTGCGTTCGCGACTCCGGGGCTGAGCACCGACCTAGGGCTTGAGACGCAAGTAACAGACCTCCTATTTGATCTTCTTGCGTCGATCGTCGTACCAGATACGTGGTAGTTCTAATCACACCATACTCTCTTACTTGGCCAAGACCAATTCTGGTCGCCATTCGCTGGTTTTGCGAGGGAGCGCAGTAGGGAACCACTTACAACTTCTGTATTTCAAACGATGCTACGCAGGACGAAAAGCATCAACGGAACTGTGAATCCAGCGACGCGTGATTGGAATTACTATGGACCTGGGCCTCGCCAGAGAGATTGATCCATATCGGACCGACTATTATCGATGGTGAATGTATGCTTTCAGGCATTGCAGGCAATTCAGAGATCTCATACAGTCATGGGTATTGCCGATACGTGCAACGAGGTGACCTATTTTCAGTCTGAACTCCATTTCAAAGAGTTGAGCAGGCTCAATATAATACAGTACATCATTCTCAACGTATCATCGCTGTTGAGGTAGACGCAGCTCCTCCGCTGTCGTACAGGCTCTCGCCTCTCCATGCAATGTACGCCATAGTGTTACAAGATCATTTCGTCTCGTCGTCCATACCCGCTCTCTTGAGCGAGGCACTCAATCCCAGCCCTGGTCCTTTACCCTGACAATGTCACTTCTGTCCCCTTTTTGCTTGCCCTCTCTTCCACCTTCGACGACCAATCGGTCGATCTGGTAGAATTGGCTTATCACCGTTTGCCTCTGTGGAATGAGTCAGCATTCAGTCCTGTGCATCCAACCTCGACTTCATGTTCCAAGCTTCCTGCAGCTGCACGCCCAAGCGCATACGTCGCCCGATGGCTCTCAAGATAGCGGCTCGTTCGCCTCTACCACTTCTCTGTCACGCGCTGCGAACCTCCACTTCCATTGCCGAACCACAGGGTATATATCTCACCTTTAGCATCTGCAATTCATTCAAGCCCTTCTGCACCAACTCCTGTATTGTCCGCTCCTCGGTTATGTTCTTGCTGTCTCGGAACGCATCGCGCGTTCTCCGTTTGGCATACTCGCGGAAATTGTAGGCGGCGAATTGCCCGCTTTGGCGCAGCAGGGAGCGGTACTACGTGCGGAGGTCAGCCAGTGTTCTTCCATAGTCCATGGGAAATAAGCGCGCTGAAAGCCTGTGTATCTCAAACGCAGAGTTACAGAGTAGGTGTGTGGATTGCGACACTAGGGCGGCGACACCATGAGTGTAGGCTGCAACGGATGTCCGGAAAAACCGCAAGGAGGATACGTACGAGTGAGCGCACTTGGTAGGCCATGTCGCCTTTCGTTGCCTGTGCTAATGACATGGTCGCGGGTTGTACAGAGGAACGTGGAGGGTAGTGGTGCACTTGGGAATAAAAGTCGCTGGTTAGGTCATAGGTCTTGGGCAGGTCGGAGGAAAGCTACGAAAGTCCGAGCATACAGATTGCCGCAGCCTACCCCACGCTGCATCGCCGCAATAGTCTGCATCGAACAGGAGATTGAGCGCTGAACGCACATTTTTCATTATGCCTGACGAACTAATATTTTACAAGTAACTAGTGTCCCAGAACTACTGGAATCAATGGAAGCCTTGCGGCTCCGGGTCTCCATGAAAGTGGTATACCCAAGTGACTTCGCACAAACGCCTCCCAATGCAAATAAAGCCATCATCATCTCAAGCGACTGTGTGATGTCTGGAGAAAGAAAGCAAGACCTACTCGTAAGCCTACTTTTGGCGGTGCTTCTCTTGGATCTTGCGGAGTTGCTCCTGGACGTTCACGTCCCGCATCTGCTCTACACGAGCAGTATTTTTGGCAGGATCAAGCTGACCATCGTACGACAGTGCAGCCTTCTTCCTCCGAGCTTCTTCCTCTGCAGAGATCGGCAAACCAGTAGCGCCATCGTAGATATCCTCACGTTGACTAGCAAAGCGTTTGAGGTTGTTCGCGACGTCGGCGGTGTTGATGGTTGTAGAGTATCGGGCTTCGGCCTTGTCGCGCTGTTCTTTCCAGCGCGGATCAAGCAGTTCGACTAGAATACAGTGTTAGCGATGATCTTCTGAGGGACAGGAATGGGGTCGGCTTACTTCTGATGTGCTCATCCATCTCGTTCGCGGGAACTTGCTGCTTGCAGTTAGGGCACACGGCCATTTGAACGTTTGCCTTCTTTGCGGCAGCACGGGGAACGTAGTCTGTGACAATGCGACCAGGTGCTCCTCTGGCAGCAGCCTGAGCGCGTGCGCGCTGCTCGCTCTCCGCTTGGCGCTCTCTTGCCAGCCGAGCTTGCTCTTCCTCGCGCGATATCTGTGCCGGCGTTCGGTAGTCAGGCATAGGCGGAGGCGCGTATGACGGCACACCGTACGGTGGCTGCACGGGCGGCGCTGCGGGAGCGTAGTTTGGCGGCATCTGAGATGGGGGTACCTGCTGCTGTGTGACGTTGTAGTAAGTCATCTCGTCGGGCATGGCCTCCTCGAGACGCCTTGTCGAAAGTGAGACGGCTGCCTTTTGCTCGAGCGACTGCGACTGCAGATCGTTCAGCTGTGCCGGTGGAGGCAGGTCCGCTGCATCGTCAGCCTCGTCAAAGAGCACAGTTGCGATGACAGTGAAGTCGTGCCAGTCCACAGTCGCATACTCTTGCTTCTCAGCCTCGACCTTCTTTTCCTCTTTCTCTTTTTGGGCGGTCACGTACTTGACGTACTCCGCACGTCCCTTGGCACGATCTAGCACATGGAACCGGTTCTTGATGTTCTGTTGTAGCTCCTGGATACGCGCCTCGACTGTCGCCTCTTCCTCAAGTAGGATCTTGTACTGCTCAACAAGCGATCGGAAGAACTGGAAGAAGCTGTGGTTTGGTCGGAGAAAGTCAAACTGGAAGTTGCCAGACTCACGGTTGCGCAGATCCTTCAGCCAGTTCTCACCCACGCGGGCCGTGTATAGAGCCGTGAGCTTCAGCACCTCCAAGTCCTTTGCGCTGATGTTTGGCATGCGCGCAGAGAAGCGGAACCTGGGCGGTTCTGGGGGGCCCTTGGGCTTGTTGTCAACGACTTGCTTGGCACTTCCAACTGACCGTCCGTGACCTTCCTTCAGTTGCTGGAGATACCACAGGAAGTAGGCGTTGTAGGGATCCTCTTCCATGACGAAGACGAAGTTGCGGTTGTTCGCGGCCGAAGGATCGGTAGTGACACGCTGCTTCAGTCCGTTGAAGTGTGATTCGCCTCGGCGGGCAACGAAGTCGGCCGTCTTCGCAATCGTTTCGCGCACGTTGGGCGGGGGGATGACCAGGTTCGACGGTGGCTTCACGTCGAGCTCGACAGATCCCGAGGCGACGCCATTGCCGTTGGGGTTCGCCATGGCGCGTGTGGTCGGTATACGTCTCGGCTTCGAGTGATGTCGTCGGCAGTCCTGTATATGAGTCGCGAAAAGCAGGTGAGGCACTCGCAGATTGCGCGGGGCAAGATCAGGGGAGAAATTCAAACGCCAGTGACCAGATTCCCGTCGCGATTACCTACTTCCGAGTGACTTGCGCGTAGATCGCGTGGGGTGAATGTGGACGTGGTTGTTGGTAGCTGCGACTGGGCGTCGACATGCGGGAGATCGCAAAGTTCCAGGGTAGGCAACAAGATGTTCCGCGCCGGACCCCAGCCACAGGTGCGCCACAACCAAGCCACAGCTCTCGAAATGAAGCACTCGGCGTAATACTCAAGACGCCTCGGCTTGCAAACGGCTGTCGGAGGTCAGACCACTGCCGCTGGAGGACTGATCTGATTTCTCCAAACTGGTAGATAATTGGGTGGAGTGAATGCTAGCCCTATGTACCTGGACCTATTTTCAGCTCTCCCAGTTGGGAAAGGGCCGTCGTAAGGAACAGCTTGCAACTAGGATTAATCGGTACGCAACCACTGCTCCTCGCGGGACTCTCTGCCCCTAGCCTGAACCATTGCGCATACCACAGAGACCTCCATCTCTTCCCCCCTCACCTTGATGAGACTCTTTTCCAACTCTCTTTAACTCTCTTTGCAACGACGTCAAGGCCGCGGGCGCCTTCAACGTAGACTGGAACTCCGCAACGTTCCCACCTTTTGGTACAGCGCTCCACTCGCCAGTTGATCGAGCCGCGACACCTCTTCACATTCCGCCGTCATGGCGAGCCTCTCGGCACCCAACGCTTACCTGGGCGAGAAGCCCAAGTCTCGCAGATCCAAGTCGCGTTCCAAGTCGCGCTCCCCAGCCCCGAATGGCCGCAAGCAGCCCAACACACAGCAACAGAAGGTCCAAGGCTACACTTCCGAGGGAGTGCAGGACCATGATATCTTCAACCTCCCTGGCTCGGACTGGTCACTGCTGGCCGTTTTGACCTTCATTGCGGCCAGCGTTCGACTCTTCCGGATTTCACAGCCTACCAGTGTTGTCTTCGATGAAGTTCAGTAAGTGTGGTCACTATACAACAAACTCAACAGACATGTTGGCTGACTGATTCCAGCTTCGGTGGATTCGTATCGAAATACATCAAGGGCAGATTCTTCATGGACGTCCACCCTCCACTCGCGAAGCTCCTCATCACACTGGCAG